AGGAGGATCATTCGAGCCCAAGAATTCAAGACCTAAGTGGGCAACATGACAAGACCCTGTCTCTACAAAAAAATACAAAAATGAGCCAGGTGTGGTAGCATGCACCTGTGGTCACAGCTACTCGGGAGGCTGAGGTGGGAGGATTGCTTGAACCAGAAAGACAGAGGTTGCAGTGAGCCAAGATCATGCCACTGCACTCTGGCCTGAGCAACACTGCGAGACACTGTCTCAAAAAAAAAAAAAAAACTGTAGAGACCGAATACTGATAAAAATGAGATGTAGCCTAATAAATCAACTGTGAGTTTTTACAGAAAATGAAAACCAGCTGGGCACGGTGGCTCACACCTGTAACTCCAGCTACTGGGGAGGTTGAGGCAGGAGAATCACTTGAACTCAAGAGGTGAGGGTTGCAGTGAGCTGAGACCGTGCAGTGCACTCCAGCCTGGGTAACATAGCAAGACTCTGTCCCAAAACAAACAAATAAACAAAAATAACAACAAATGAAAACCAACATCCAAAATATTGGGGGAAAACCTGTAAGCTTTAAATAAATATCGATTAGATCTACATCTTACCTGAGCTCTGAACTATGTAACTGTCAAATGACAGCATGTAAAATAATGTATTCATGCTCTTTTCCCCCACATCCCCTTTCTTCTGTCATTTTAAGTTATGACACTATCACACCACTGCTCTGTCCCTCACCTGTAAGATCCCATGGAATCTGTCCATTCTCTGTTCTCTTAGGCCACTATCATCCTTCCAAACTGGTCAGCCTGCCTCCTGTCCATTCTCTATCATGCAGGCATAGTGATCTTCCTAAAACTGAAAGCCTATCATAGAATTTTCTTGCTTAAAAGACTGGTTTACCACTGCTTTTAGCACAAGGTTTGAACCTTTCAACCTGACATCTAAAACTTCATAATATAGCCAAGTGCAATGGCTTATGCCTGTAATCCCAGCACTTTGGGAGGCTGAGGCTGGCAGATTGCTTGAGGTCAGGAGTTTTAGACCAGCCTGACCAACATGGTGAAACCCCATTTCTAATAGAAAAAAAAATTAGGCAGTTATAGTAGTGCACACCTGTACTCCCAGTTACTTGAGAGGCTGAGGCAGGAGAATCACTTGAGCCTGGGAGGTGAAGGTTGCAGTTAGCTGAGATCGCACCACTGCACTCCTGCCTGGGTGACAGAGGGAGACTCCATCTCAAACAATTTTAAAAATTTAAAAAATTAAAACTTCATAATAATGGCCTCTGATTACCTCTTGACCCTCATTTCATAACATTCCCAGAAACACCTTTCCCATCCCACCCCACCTTTAAGTTCCATGCAGCCATACTGAAATCCTTTGCGGGTGCTCAAGTTCAAGCTGCCCTCACCTCTGGGCCTCTGCATCACTGTTCCCTTTATTCTAAAAGTCCTCAAACTAAAATGATACACAAAATTATGTGAGTGTATGTCTCTATGTATATATACACAATGCGCATGCATAAAAACTTGCAAAAATTGTTGAGTTATTTATAAATTCCCTGAATACCAACTTTGGACTCACCTTAAGAACCTCTTCCTGAAGCTATAAGCAAACTTACAGCTGATATTAAAAAGTTCTTAAATATATTATTCAGCATTTTTACATACAAAGTATACATAAATTACACATACTGGTATCAACTCTTCTATGTCACTGGGATGCTATTCATTGCCCTTTGTCCAGAGAAAGTTAGCTGATTATTATCTTAAAGTTGGCTTCCCTGGGAAAGCCTTATTTTAGGAAAAAACATCCTTTCACTGTTCTGAGAACAGCGGAATTCTAGAATGTGAATATTTCTGCCTCATAATGCCTGAGCATGCTGTTACAAAAAAAAAAAAAGAAAAAAAACTTAAAAAATTTGGATGATATTAGATGAACAGCTGTGTAGAAAAGGGAATGTAAAAACAAAAACTGCATTTTGGAGCATCAAAATAGTAACCATGTACAGTATAGGACTGTTTCTAATCAGATGAAGATTGAAGCTATTACATTTCAAATCAAATGTTATAAATTAGTTCAAGAATGCAGCTGAGCTCTCATTTAATTAGAAATGTCCATGTTTAAATCATGAGGTACAGTAGCTGCCAATGAAGCAAAGGGCAAGGGAAGAGAGAAATCCTGTGTCCAGACTCACTGATTCTCAACTGTCTCCTATGCAGGACGAACATCTGGGGTGGACCAGTCCTGATGTAATAAAGAACTTCATGTACTAGCTAATTTGCGATTTAATGTAATTGTCCGTAATTGTTTTGAAGACAATTAGAATCATTATTCTGGTCTGGACAATTCTAACCTCTTCATTTTTTGTGTGGAACATATTTTACCCCCTTGCTGAATTTTAACTCTTTCTTGGATAACATCAAGTGAGTCTGGGGCCAAGATTCCCTTGGAAATAATCTTTCAACTGTCAGGTCATATTAAAATGCAGCGTAAGGAGTGAGGTAGTCCTTTGGAAGCAAGTCTCATTTCCTATCTGGTGCTTGATGTAGCTCAGCTAAAGTCCAAATCTACATCCCAAATGTTAGACAATTCACCATTAATTAAAAATGAGGCAACATCATAGATGGATTTCTGAGGTCATACAGAAAAGAATGCAATTATCCTAAGGCAGATTTTTCCCCGAAGATTATAAGCCTCTGTATCTTGTAATTAACCATGGTACAGTTAGACAGTCCAGGCAAAAGGTCTTTCTTTTCCCCCAATTTGCCTAATTCAACAACACCTCAAGTGATATAGCTCAAATTTTCTAAACGAACCTTACCCCTGGGGCTGAAATTATGCAAGTGACAGTTCAGCTCTAAAGAAAATCTTAGAGAGAGTTGTACACAGGGAAACAAGAAAAAAAAAAGAGGAAAAAGGGGTAAAAGTTAACATATACGTGGTTTTTCAACCTCATCATTACCCTTGCTCAAGAAAATACGACACAGATAGGCAACACATACCATCGTTCTGCCCTGAAGAGTCTAAAGGACTTACTAGAAACTACTATTGTTTCCTCATGATCTATTGTGAATTTGCAAGGGATAAAATTATTGATTTTTCTTTTTTGCCATATCCCACAGCATTTAGTATTCCATAATGTCATGGGGTAGGAAGTGGAGGAGTCACAGAGAACCCAAGAATGCTTATTGTTGATACAGTTTTCACAATCAATTTTCCCCAGGGGGTTGAGGAGTGATTAGATTTTCACAAGCTATTTTTGTTTGTAACAGTGGTTTCTGGTAAGGAAGAACATGTAACCCCAAACTTTCTCTTACTTCTAGCCACCACTCCACACTCTTCCACTGTGACACCAGAGAGGAGGTAAACTGGAATCAGGTCCACTGCTCCCAGGCAAGGATAGATTCCTTCTTGAAATTCCCTATCAATAGCCCGGAAGGCCTCTAGGCAGCCAGAACAGAACTGCCTAAAAATGTAAAATTGTGAAAAACAATCATTAAGCTTTCAACTATATCTAAAGAAAAAGCTATGATTTTGTTGCTCTACTAGAGGCTTTTCTTTTGTAAACTGTATAGAATTCTTTTATGTCCAAAATAATAAAAAATATAAAATCCAATCTTTCCCCTCACCCTACCTCCCAACACTCATAAAACTTCATATTTCTTCTAGCTTTTCCCTCCCCAAAGTGGGAGAATTATGTAAGATTTGTTAGTCTTATACTATTTAATTATTTTTTTTAAACTGGTTAAATTTTTTCAATTTTCTCCAATTAACTGAATCGAATTCCTTATTTTCAGAATGCCTTATGAGTAATTATATTAGAATAGATACAGACATAATTTTTTTATGTTTTCTTTTTAGAGACTGGGTCTTGCTACATTGCTCAGGCTGATCTCAAACTCCTGGGATCAAGGAATCCTCCCACCTTGGCCTCCCAAAGCACTGAGACTATAGGTATGAGCCACTGTGCCCGGCCACATAATTTTTTTTCCACATAAATATTTTAAAGCATAAATACTTATTTTAGTTTCGGGCTTATCCACTAATTATATTTTTCATTTAATTATTATAGTTAAATGTATATTATAGATACCTAAGAGTTTTAGATGTTACTCTGAGTTTTCATTAGTAATACGATATGACATTTTAGCAGTAGAGGAAAAAGTAGATTTTTAACTCTGTATTAAGGTTAACATTCAAGATAATCTGTCCAGGCTGGGTGTGGTGGCTCTCTCCTATAATCCCAGTACTTTGGGAGGCTGAGGCAGGCAAATCACTTGAGGTCAGGAGTTCCAGACCAGCCTAGCCAACATGGCAAATCCCCATCTCTACTGAAAAAAATACAAAAAATTAGCCAGACAGATCATCTGTCCTCTGCTTGCTGTAAGTTATCAGTAAGCTCTTCCCTCCCTTATGCAAGTAAACACAGCTTTTGAACAAGGACAATCTGCCAAGTGGAAAACAAGTTTATCTGAAATTATTTGAAACCTTTACTAAGCAATGTTAAGATAACACAGGTTTTCACTTAAACGATTGTGCTTCTTCAAATTTAAATTGTCCTACAAACACTTACAATGTCCCTATGAGACATGGAGTCCATTTCATGTCCATTCACAGCCCAACCCCAGATCTCAAACTCCCAACCCAGAATATACTGCTTAGCAAGTTTCATTCCATGCCAGCTTTGCAGTGAAATGAAAGCTGACTTCAACACTATTACTTCCAGGCTAAAACCTGAAGATATCTTTTCTTAACCACAAAGCATATGTGATCATCTTCAGCAAAAAAAAAAGTTATTAAATCTTGGACCCCAAGGTTTACTGTAACAAAGAGGAAATGGAGAATGTTTGAGATGTACATGTTCAGAAAATGATTAAATGTCGTTTTGTGGTAGACTCTTTATAAATGGAGGGGAGTATTCAGATTTACACAGGAAATCAATGATTACAGATAATGTTCAGGTCTACCTGAAGCCTACCCTTCACCAAAAAAAGACATATATGTAAAGAAAGAAACTGAAATCTGACCCAACTTATCAACAGAAGCTGCTATTGTAATGACTGATCTATTGTGGTCTTGATCAGAAAATATATTGAGCACTGACAAAGGATGTTTCTTCTCTGTAAAGGAAGCAAGACAGAAGTGTAAGAATGTTTTTTCTGTGATAAAACCTTAATACTTTATTTCTTCTGATATAATTAAATTTAGCTTAGTGGAAAAATTCTGGGATGTGACTTTTGGAAGTGACATTGAATAAACATGAAATTCATGAGTAGCAATGTCCACTTCTTTTACAGCATCTTATTGTATAACCAGATGGCTCAGCTCAGACACAAGCTTTTGATGTCTACAAGAGATCCTCTCTTGGACTTAATACTGAATTTGCCAGAATTCCCTTAACTCAGTCTAAGACAGTAGCCCCTTTCTTCAATGGCCAAATCGTACTGCTCTAAATCCTGTTCCTTATCAATCTCATCACGTAGGCCTTGTCAATATTTCCTTCCAAAATCCAGAAATTAAACTGTTTGGGTCAAGATCTGACATCTGGTACAACCAAAATAGACCAATTAGTGCCCAGAGCAGAGGTTTTTGAGACGAATGCACCTGTCCATTAGAAACTGCTCTGAGTCCACCATCTCCTTTTCAGAGGCCACCAACAGCCTTCAGATGTTAACAACTTCCAGCTTTTGGTGGTTTGTGACTCTTGAATATGCGTAACCTGGAGGAGAAAGCTGCCATTCCCTTGTATGGCAGCCATACATAACCCCAGAGTTATTTTTGAAGTTTACAAGCATGGTCCAGGCTCCTTAAAAGTCCCCCTTATGCCTACAAAAGCAAATTCAAAGTGAAGGACAAAAGTTTTCAGGCGGTAATTAAACCTTTGGTTATGCTATTATACCTTGTTTCCCTGTCCCCTGGCAGCTCAACAATTAATCTTTTCAGAGGAAAGGAAAAACAAGTTACACCCAGGAACTACAGAGCTTACAAAGGCCCTGCACTATTAATTTTAATAATGTGAGAAGATAAACATATGTCACTCACTCATGGCCAAACAAGCATCTATAGAGTCCTGCCCTGGTGTAGGTCTAAAATTTATAACTCAGATTCCTTTACCTAAGACCTTTCTAGGCCATTTAAATGTGCTCACATTCCTTAATTAGAAAAAACTACACAGTTTATATAGTTTTATTCCACTCACTTAAAAATAAATGCTTTTAAAATATTTGTTAAAAAAAAAAAGACAGGTTCATTTTCTTAACTAGTGCTACCTTCCTTGCATTTTGAAAACCATAAAAGATGAAGTAAGAACAAGATCACGCAACCTCCTATTTTATGTAGTTTTTCAACATACTCTTAACACCTGGAAGAAAAGAGATATGATTTAATTTTTTTCATCCTAAATCTTCTCCTGAAAGCTTTTATTCTCAGTTTCATGTGATTCAATTGAATCAAATGCTGAAAGAATAAAACACTCTCTCCTGCAATTTCTTAAGCATGCATATAGAAAAAAAAAATTGCTGCTGGCAAGAGGAGCTGTCAGTGTGAATCTCAGCAGAAGTAAATTGTTTGGTATTTGTAATGGAGTATAATAGCTATAATTCCATTTGAGCTGCTGCCACTAATAAGCTGATAAAAACTGTGAGTTGAGACCCAGGCATCCATCAGTGTGTAACTTCCACAAATGTCTCTGCACATTCACCTAATCACAGAGACAGGCAACCCAATCCCATTAGATGTACTGTTTGACAATGAAGAGCCCAAGCTGGCTCTTTCCACAAAAAGCATGCAAAATCACAGCTGCATACCAACTCCAAAGGAGTTTTCTTATCAGCAATTATCAGGAATTTTCATAGACATTTCTAGTTCCAGCAAAGTTGCAAGACAGTAAGTTAAATGTGCTCATAGTTGAGACGGAGTGGGGGAAAACATGTCTTTCTTATGAAAAGCAGTAACTACATTAGAAATGACAATCGGAAATTAAAATTTAATGTCTGAAATGCTTTAGGACTGGTTTCACCTGTTGACAAAAAGTTACTGATATAGTAACAAGCATTCTATTTAAATGACTGTATACACTGTTGTGTGTGTTGGTGTGTGTGTGAAAGTAAAGACAAATAATATCTAACCATGTGTCATCACAGGAATATTTTAAGGATGAAAAAGAGTAGTATCTTTCATAGTAATACTGGCCAAGGGAATAAGGAGTTCCAGTCTTCTGTCATCAAATTGCTGAGTGATCTACGCACATCATTTAAATGCACTTGCCTAACAGTCTTTATACAGAGAAAAGAGAGTAGAAATAATAATACTATAATGATTGCATGGGCTTTGGTGGCAGGAATGCTATGAAAAGTAGTTGGTATTTGGCAAGTTTATTTTTCATTTAACCTGCTCAATAAAAAGCATAAGGTATGATTATGCTCTTTCTATTAATGATCAAATAAACAACCCATGAGGGAAACATTATACTTTTATGTAAATACATCCTCCCCAGGAGCCTGTCAATAATCTGAACAACGTGTATCTCAGAGACTCATACAAATGTGAAGAGCTGTGCTGCTGAACGTATGCAGACATTTGGAAAAGAGCATATGTGCACATCTGAGTAGCTGAGCTATCTCAGTATCCTGGAGTTGTGCAGAGCTGTAACAGCTCAAGAACAAGGAGGAAAATTCAGGAAGAAAGAAAGAAAAATGTTATGTAGATAAGGTGTACACACTAAAACACTACAGCATTCAGCTTCAGTTGTCTGGTTTTCCTACCATTTTTGTAAAGAAGAGCTACTTTTGCTGTGTTCTCAACAATGTATTTTCTTCTGGCTTCTGAAATGTTTAGTAAACAGGCAGGCAAACGAAGCCCCACTCTGGAGGAAGATATGATTTTTCTGGAATAGGAGAAAAATAATTATGTGTCTTTAGAGTTGATTTATAGTTTCATGTTTTTACTATAAAAAATCATAACTTTTTAGAAACTAGGCAGTCATAATATAAGCACTTTACTATTTCATTCCTAGAAAAATTCTAAAGCATAAAATCCCCAGATTGACTCAAATAAGAAACCATGTGTACATGGCCATGTACATATGAACATATGAACATTGGAATGACATTGGAAAATACCTGGCAGGGTCCTCAGCCTGAATTCCATCATGTAAGTGAAAGTTTTTCATTAAAGAATGTTATCCCATTTCAAGCATGGTCTTCCTTAGCCTTATCCCTATTTTCAAGGTCTGTACTATTTTATGAATAGGTATGACTTTTTTTGTTGTTAAACTAGACTCACTGGAAAAATGCAAAAAAAAAGAAACAAGGAAAATTCTTTAATATGTGGATTCTTATAAAATCAATTCTTGTGGCAAAAAAAAGTATCTATAGGCCGGCCATGGACATTAAACAAACAAATAAGGAAGCCATTTGGATGCTTTACATGACAATTATTCCTCCTTGTTTCAACAAAGTTTCTAAATCAGTTTAAAGTCTTTTCACAGAATTCTGTAACTTGAATTGAAAGATGACATATTCTGATATATATTACTAAATAATACCAGAAATGTGATTCTTGTTGAAAATAGATTATACAGGTTTTAGAGGCTGCTTTATTTTTAATGCACTAGAACGGCATTTTTGACTGATTTTTCCATACTTCAAATGATATTCATGATCTAAAGGAATTAAAACATCTTAAAATAGTAAGAAAATAATTCCCCCTTCAAGTTCAGGACCATATTACATTGGTCTCTTTTAAATATCATAACTAAAAATGAATGAGGCCCTCATGAATTCATTTAACAAATATTTGATGAGGGTCGTTTTCTGACAGGTAATGTTCCCTGTGTGAGGGATACCAACCACAGTGATCTAACTCTGAGACACACTTTATAAACTTTAGAGTTTAAGCTAAAGTGCTCTGGTGCAAATAATGGTGCTCTCCCGGAATAAATCTGCTGGCTTATTCACTAGCATCGTTCACTGGCCTAATCATCTTAACGTAGAGAGGGTTCAGGCGTCCTAGCTAGCTCAGGTTTGCAGGCAGGTTTTCATAATATGACCATCATCTCCTCACTGAAAATTCATAAAAATTCTATCATTAGGTTTTTCTAAGTATTAATAACATTGTTGTAATAAAGCAACCCAGACCTCTCGTTTCTATGTAAACAAAAAATTGCTTTACACAAGGGGTGTGGGCGTCTTCTGGTTTTCATTTGTTTTCAGTGTGTTTATGCAGCTTAATTGTCTCATCAGGCACTTTCCCAACATAATTATGCTTTTTAACAAATGGTGTTTATGGCAACCCCTAACAGTGCAAAAGAAAGGATTAGTTTCATCCTCTCACTCCACATTTTGATTCCCTGTGGACAGCTAAATCACACAAAGATGGTGTTAGAAAAATTCTCCTTCACAGCGAAACTGAAATGAGCGGCAGTACCAGACTTAGAAAGTGACCCAAACGCAAGCCCCAAAACACTCTGTGGTGGGACAGGGAGGTGCTAGTCCACCCAGCCCATCTCTTCAATTACCATTGGATGACCTCTGGTGACAGATCAAACACCCGGCCGCCCCCCGCCCCCACTCCTTCCCACCCCCAGAGGACCTAGCCCTGCAAGTGCAAAGTACAGCAGTTCACCTGACCCCGGCGCACGCATCCCACCGGCGCTGGGAGACCGCAAGGAGGCTCGCCAGGCTGCGGCAACGCGTGCGGGGACCAGAACCCCGCTGCTGGGACTCCCAGCGCAGTCCCGACTGGGTTCCTGGGTGGAGTGTGCCAGTGCCACGTGGGCTGAAGGGGAAACCGAAGTGACTCCCGGCCTCCCCGCAGGTCTCGCGGGACACAGCGGCGGCGAGGCGCAAGGTTGTTGCGCCTGGGAGTGAGGGGCGGCCGGCGGCTGCGCGCCCCTGCCGGGCTCTCGAATCAGCGGCCACGCCTGCCGCTCCGCTATTTGGAAGGGCAGAGGACTAGCGCGCGCCGAAGGGCGGTGGGGGCAGCGCAGCCGTCTAGCCCGAGTCGCCGCGCGTCTCCCGCGCGCAGCCTCCACCGCCGGCTCCGCCTCCCAGGCGCCCGGGGCGCGCCCCACCCAGCCGCGCACCTCCCGGGCTGGCTTTGCCTCTCCCTCCCTGACTAGGCACCACGAGCCTGGCGTCCCTGAACGCTTCAGATTCTTCTCAGTGTTGCCTTTTCATCTGCTCTTCTGTGTCGCCAAACCCTCCTCAATTCTCTTGTCCATTAATGACTTTAAAAGGGCATGGAATCTAATGATCAGGTCTTTGCCTATTGATCATGCACCAGAAGGGGGCTCTTCTCTGGTTTCCTTGGAAGGGACACAGGCACTCACACAAACCCTTCCGGTAAATCCCTTCCTGGAGGATTAGTGGCCCTCGTGACTGTGAACGGGACCCACCCCGGGACAAAAGCAGTCTTTGCACATACCCATTTAGTCAAAGTTACAACGAATATGAACAAGGCTTCTGCATTTCCTTTTTTTCTAGGCCAGTCAACCTTGAGAACACATTTCACTTCCAAAAAATCAGGACCTGCTTTTTTTTTTTTTCGTGTAGCAAGGATTAAATGTCACCATTTTGATCCAATTTTGTTCCTGTAGTGAAATAATCACTAAATAACTACTTTGACTGAATAAATTAATTTTTAAATCTATTTTTTATTTTCTAATTATAATTTTTAAACACAGATTTGAGGAAATTAACATTTATGTGGACATTTGGTTTCTAGCCTAATGTGGCATAAAAATAAGTAACATAATGAGTGTTAAAAAAAATCAGGTTCACGATGCTTCTCACATCATCATCATTGTACTTAGATGTCACAACAGTATTATGTGCGATTATGTCAGATCCAGCCTTCTCCATCTCGGAGTGTTGGCAGGTAGGAGGGTTGTTGGCAAGAGGAGGGGTGTTAACCTCAGGATCCTGGATCCATTCCAAGGCTGGTAATTACATTCTGCCAGCCAAAATTCATCCCATAATTTTAATTGGATAAATCCTTTCTGGCCTAAGCTACTGCTATGCCTGTCAAACTGTTGCCACATTTCACCCCAGAGGTGTCTGTGTTTTAGTTGCAAGAATCAGTCCCTTTTGAGGTTGGCTTATCTGTTTAAATCCTCAAAATGCATTGGGATCCTACGGAATTAAATATATATGTAGGTATTTTTTCTACTAAATCTGCATAGAAATGCATAAAGTAGATACATACCAATGTTATTACCTAAAGACCAATACCTATCTGATGTCAGCATTCGTTAGATAATTTTGAGAGCTTTTTAACCAGATCGATATTACTTTCTTCATCTTCCCTTTTGAGAGCTTTTTTGGCTTCCAGCTATAGCTTCCGTTTTCCAAAAAAAAGTACTGTGGTGTCCAAATGTTCCTTCTATGGTAGGGCAAAGATCGGAAGCTCCTGTATTTCACCTTTCCAAACAATTGGATGATGACACTACTTGCTAAATGAGACAGCGTAATAACATTACATCGAGTCTTATCATATCCCTCCAGAGAAAACAGTGTGAATCCTGTGGGCTTCATGGTTCTAGCTGTAGCAACTGCCAGAGGGAAAGCTTTTTCCCCGGCTCCTAATCCTCTCTCCCCTCCCCATGAGACTGTTCTTACCGAGCTATAGGCTATGGGGGCATTAAGTAAGATAACATTTCTGAAAGCATCCCTTTCTCCATTCTACTCACTTCAAACACAAATGGATAGTAAACAGGGCCCCAGTGTTCTTTGTGGCAGGGCAGCGTCTGCCTCTGCCTGAGGACAGTAAGTGTGCATTTTTGAAAAATACAAGGAGACACATACCAACCTGTCCTGTGAGAAGTTTAGCGATAAGATTGAAAGTATTATTTTGTTCTCTTCAAGAATGGAAAGTTACCATCGGTTAGTTTAGGTATACCACATGTAATCCTGCCCGTTTTGTTACACAAAAGAGCTTTATGTCACATTTGTATGTGCATCTCAAGTCTCTCATTTTTATTTAACTTAGCATGATTTGGAAGGAGTCTTCCCACTTTTTGAATTAATGTATTATTCTGACTCCTTGATTCTTCTGCTAAATTCAACTTGTGGGCATTAGTTCTTTTGCTCATTATGGTTCCTGTCCAGAAAGATACAAGCCCTGGAATAGAGATCAACTAAAACTCCCAGGGGTCAGTTCTATCTATGACAACTGCTATTCCCTAACACTCCCATTAGTTTCCTGTTAGACAGAGGACACTTTTCTTTACCCTTTGTTTTCATTTTTGCACCAGGGAGAACTTAGTTCTTGTGGGTGACTTTCCTGACCCATCTGAGCGGAAGAGAATAAAAGGGAGAGGCTGCACTCTGCTGTGGCCTCACAGGTCTACCTGAGCTCACAGTCCAGGTTCTGGTTGAGCAGGGCCAGGACGAGGGTGAGGCCAGTATGTAAGTAGGAGCCAAAAAACTCAGGGAGGCAACATTTTTTAATAAAATTAATGCAGAAAAAAAATGTGGTGAACAAAACATCGAAACCTTGAGTAAAGACAGGACCCCCCCTGCACTTGCCCCTTGACTCAGCCTCACTGGCCTCACGCTGATCCTGGCCCTGCGATTGTTCCCTTGTGCCAGCCTGTTTCTGACCGTAGGCCTGTAGAGGAAACTGCGCCACTCCATCCTGCCTGCAACCTCTCTTCTGGCCCCCCAAATGGGCAACAAAACCAACAATGTCAAGGGTAGAAATTTCCAGCCCAGTGTAGACACATAATTCATACTCTGTTCAAGAGTTTCCAGACTTCCATAGTTAGGAGACAGCCAATTTATCTCAAAAGAAGGCAAGCCAGGCACAGTGGCTCATGTCTGTAATCCCAGCACTTTAGGAGGCCTGATTACTTGAAGTTAGGAGTTCGAGACCAGCCTGGCCACCATGGTGAAACCCCATCTCTACTAAAACTACAAAACTTGGCCAAGTGTGGTGGTGCACGCCCATGATCCCAGCTATTCAGGAAGGAGGTTGAGACCCGAGAACCATTTGAACCTGGGAGGCGGAGGTTGCAGTGAGCCTAGATCTTGCCACTGCACTCCAGCCTGGGTGACAGAGCAAGGCTATGTCTCAAAAAAGTAAGTAAATAAATAAATAAAAAGAAGGCAAATCCTTATTGGAACAAGGAAAAGAATCGGCTCTACTTACCTGATACATATCAGAGTTTGAAAATTAGGTTCCCTAATGTGCTGCAGAATTTTGAAATGTTTTAAAGAACCTCCTAATTAATACTATCTATAGTCTGTTTTTGTTTTTTTTTTTTGGTGTAGCATTTATTTATGTTCAGGAAAACATGAGTAGAGAATTAACCTTAAAGAGACAGAAGTCTAATTCCTAATGCAACTTGGTTTTTTTGAAAATTTCACTTTAATCACGTTTGCACTATGTCAGATTTCATTCTATCTTCTTCCCTTATGGAACACGAAAAGGTTTTCTTCTTTCATATGAATGCAGTCTGATAAATGAGAGATTTTTTTACAAGTGACCCTAGTTGTCATTGTAGAACAGTAAAGTGTTTTTAATTACCTGTGAATTTTAAATTGTTTTATCATGTGATATTATGAAATATATTGTTCTACTAGTCATTTTCTAAAATAGCAAATAGGTTTCACTGATACAATTATTAGTTTGGAACAACAGAAGCTGTGCTATTAATTTAAGCAAAGAAAAGGAGCTTACCTTCATTCCCCACACACCTGTGTATTAATTACATAAAATGATCACTAGCCATTTTTGTCTGGGTGAAAGAGGGATGCAGGGAGCCATAGAATTTTGAAAATTAACAATTTCTTTTTCACCTTAATATTTTTGAAATCACTTTTCCTTTACACGATATGGATTGGGTTCCTTCTCTTTAGTCTGCCTATGTCTCTATCAAGAAAGACCAGTAGGCTATAATGTAAGCATAGTTACTAGCTTAAACTGGAATCACTTGCTATGCATTCTGTTCGTTCACAGCTGGAATATCTCATGTAACTAGCCAAAAGTTACAAGTCTATGATTCACCTGCGCTTAATTCATTCGTTGCCTTTTTATACCTTCCATGTGGTGATTCGGTTGTGCTTTCCTTTTTTTAGGGACCTGGGCATAATGCAGATGAAATGAAACGTTTCCTAGAGCCTCTCTCCAAAGCTGTTTTTTCATAACTATTAGTTATATTGCAGATGAAAAATAATTCCTAAAATAGACTTTGAATTTCTGCTGAAAATTTGTTTTAACTTTTGGGATGACATTAAGATTATTTCCAAAGCTACTAAAATTCACAAAATATAACATTATATTCAAAAAATGCTAGGAATGGTTAGACACATTTTCCCCTAAGCAACATGAATTTTTGTTGTGTTATGAAGTTTTATTAATAAATATTTACTTAAAAATTCCAACCAATGAACAGTAACTGCCAACATCTTGTGTCAGTCCAGTAGTGGCCAATCATGCTCTCCATACTTTCATGGGGCTGCTGTTGTTTAATGTCCCTATGTATATGCAAATGAATGGAAACTCTCAATGACACCAAGAGGAGAAGGTCCTGTATGCACAGAAATCAGAGACCCAGAACAAAAGCCTGCATGTCATGTTTGCCACATCCTAATTCAGGTGGCTGTTCAGAGGCACCTCTTGTTTTGAAAAGGAGCCCCTTGTGGAGAAAACTAGTTCTCCTGCTCTTGGGTAGATCAAGCCCTGTCTCTGCAGGACACTCAAACTGAGGTTTATCTGCTAGTTTGGTTGGTTTTTACTATGTGTCTCAGTGTTGGAAGGGATTTAACTTTTTTGAATGTACCGTTTCATTATATTTAATAGGAAATGTTTAATTTCTTAGCAAGAAGAAAAGATTAATTTTTGGTGCTTTTTACTTTTTAAAAAAATTTTATTTTGGAGTCTTTCTTTTTTTAACACGGTTTTTTGGTTCTGGTTTTGTTTTGAGACAGACTCTCTTGTCCAGGATGGAATGTAGTGGTGCAGCCTCTACTTCCCAGGCTCGGTGATTCTCCTACCTAGGCCTCCTGAGTAGCTGGGGCTACAGGCATGTGCCACCAGGCCTGGCTAATAGCTGGGGCTACAGGCACGTGCCACCACACCTTGCTAATTTTGTATTGTTTGTAGACACGGGGTTTTGACATTATGCCCAGGCTAGTTTTAAACTCCAGAACTCAAGCAATCTGCCTGCCTCAGCCTCCCAAAGTGCTGGAGTTACAGGAGTGATGGCCATGCCCAGCCTACATGTTTTCTTTATCCTATCTTGTGTCTCTCAGTTATTATTCAACTCTTTTAGCTTGAAGGTCTATGTTCAGGTCAGAGATTTGAAAACAAAAGTTCCCTGTCCCTACAGGGCAGAAGGGACCTTAGAGATCATCTGGCATCTCCTTATAACCCTTTGTTCAAATTCTGCCTCCGTCTGGCTCAGTGGCTTACATCTGTAACCTTGGAGCTTTGGGGAGGCTGAGGCAGAAGGATGGCTTGAGGCCAGGAGGTTGCTGTTGCAGTGAGCTGTATTCACGCCACTGCACTCCAGCTTGGGAGATAGAGTGAGACTTTGTCTCAAAAAAAATTACACCTCACCTGAAACAAGAAAGCAGAGACAAAAGCAGAGTGGCTAATGGAAGCAGGGGGTTGGGGTGGAGAGTTGGGTATCCTGCAGTCCTGCAGTTTGCTCCCCCACCCACCCTGTATCTGCTTCTTCCACAACCCATCCCTGAATCCTAAGGTACCCTTCAAAACCACAAACTAGTTCAAATACTTTTCTTGGGCTTGAACCCCTTTTTATAACATCATATAAAGTCCTTATCTTTTGAAAATTAACCCTCTCTCTTAAAAAGAGATCTATGATGTGGTCTCAAAATGTAAGTGCTGCTGGGCATGGCGACTCATGCCTGTAACCCCAGCACTTTGGGAGACCAAGGTGGGAAAATTGCTTGAGCTCAGGAATTCAAGACCGGCCTGGGCAACATATGGAAACCCCCATCTCTACAGAAAAAAAAAAAATCCAAAAATTAGCTGGACATGGTCGTGCTTGCCTGTAGTCTCAGCTACTTGGGAGGTGAGGTGGGAGGATAGCTTGAGCCCAGGAGCGAGGCCCTGTCTTAAAAAAAAAAAGTGCTGTGGAAAATCGGAAAACCCACATAACTCTGTAAATTATTGGATGGGTCTTAATTTCTCCAGAGGAAATAAATATGAATGAATATTCAAATCCAAAATGATCCATCAAAGACTTTAATACTGGAAGAAATGTGGTATAGAAACCATAACGATCAAGATTTGGGGGAAGGAGAAAGGAGGACTCCAAAAGATGCCATCAAATAGGGCAGGCAATTACAGTTCAAACAACAGGCAAGAATGAAAATGGCTCAGTTACTCTATCATTAACCAGTTCTGAAGACTGTAATACAGCCATGCCCTTCCCAACACCTCTATGACTTTTAACATCAGTATTTTCATTTCTCTATTTTGGACAAAATGATGGACCTGTTCCTCATAGGAGATTTCTGGGTTTTCTGTATTTCATTTAGATTTGGGGCCCATTTTTGTTCTCTGCACTCTCACCCTGTGTTTTATTTTTAATTTACTTATATCTCACGTTACTCTATTTGATCTATTCTATGACCTTCAGTTCTGAATGACTATAGAACTGTCTAAAGCAGTGGTATCAGCCACCCATATTTTAAAGCCAAATTTAAATTATAAATATAAAAACATATAATCAAAAATATATAACAAAAATACATTTTGTAAATCAGAATAAAATTTTACCAGTCACTTTATTACTACCCTGATTTTACTCAAATAAAATTCATACAACTGTTCATATCAAGTTTCCTTCATTTATTAATGTAAGACACAAAGAATTCTCCACAGTTTTATTTCTATAAAACACTAACACTTTTGAAGTAATTATTCAAACTATAAAACTTGTTAAACTAATTGTATCTGATTAGGCTGTCTAAAATTTATTGATAAAAGTACAAGAGTAGAGAAGTTAGAAGGAAAAATATTTTAAAAATTTATTCTGGTGCAGCCTCAATTAGTTATTGACATAGTAATAAACCAACTGGAAGACTGTATTCTGCAGAATAACTTGATCTGCTCAAGTATGTTCAGCCTTAAAACAAACACCAAATATGTTAATAAGAATATATAATATTTTGCTAATTATAATGAAAGTAAATGTTCCTGACAACACAATTTTTATATATTAAAAAATGTTCTTTATAGATGTGATTTTATTGATAGTTGTAATATAAATGTAATAGATTGACTATATAATAATAACATAGTTTTAAAGCTACAGGAAACCTGACATGTTTCTCACATTAAAGGTATGAAACCAGGCCTAAAGAGAGTAATGATTATATGCCTAATGTCACTCTTCTATTTTAATTTTTTTTTTGAGACAGAGTCTCACTTTGTTGTCCAGGATGGAATGCAGTGGCAGAATCTCTGCTCACTGCAACCCCCACCTCCCTGTAAATGCTGCCTCCCAGGCTCAAGGGATTCTTGTGCCTCAGCCTCCCAAGTAGCTGGGATTACAGGCTTGTGCCACCACGCCCAGCTAATTTTTGTGTTTTTAGTAGAGACAGGTTTCGTCATGTTGGTCAGGCTGTTCTGGAATTCCTGGTCTCAAGTGATCCACCGGTCTTGGCCTCCCAAATTGCTAAGATTACAGGCATAAGCCGCCGCACGCAATCCTATTCTAAACTTTACAAGCCTGGAGAATGAAGTCCAAGGCCCTTCCCAGAGTGTTCTGCTCAATTTTTTAAGCATTTTCTTCGTTCTTTTTCCCAACCCTCCTCAATCTAATTTCATACCCTAACAGTACATGCTCATCAAACACTTTAGATTATTACATCTCTGGCTTTGCTTGTGCTTTCCTCAGAATTTCATTCTATGGTCTCACCCACCCATCCAATAAACAATCCCCATCTCCATGAAGCCTTCCTGAATTCTATCCTCTTCCCTAGGATTTGTTAATTTCTTTGTTCCCAGAACATCTTACACTTAGAAATGAAACACCGATCACATCATATTGTTGTTTAGATTATTTCATAAGCATCTCTCTCCCCTGTCAGATTAAATAGAAACAGGATAATCCTTATCTTTGTATCTCCTTTTTTTTTTTAAGATACAGGGTTGCTTCTGCTCAGGCTGTGTACGGTGGTATGATTATGGCTCACTGCAGCCTTGCCCTTCTTGGCTCAATCAATCCTCCCTCTTCAGCCACCTAAGTAGCTGAAACTACAGTCTTATGCGACCACACCCAACTAAATTTTAAAATATTTTTAGAGACCCAGTCTCATTGTGTTGCCCAGACTGATCTCAAACTCCTGGCCACAAGAAATCTTCTTACCTTGCCCTCCCAAAGTGCTGGGATTATAGGCATGAGCCACTACCACCCTTAGTTCAGTCTTGAATCATGGTAGCACTTTGTAAAAATGTGTTGAAGGAATGAATTAATGGACAGATGGTGGATAAGTACATGCACAAGTGAATGAATGTGTGGACAAATTGATGAAAGAACAAACAAACCAACAACAAGGAGGTGAATGAATAGGCCAATTTCTCAACCTTGGCACTGTTGATATTTTGAGCAGTGTAATTCTTTGTTGTCGGGGCTGTCCTGTACACTACAGGATGCTTAGCAGCATTCCTGGCCTCTACCCACTAGATGACAGTAGTAGCTCCCTCCACCCCCACCCCCACAGCTGTGAAAACTAAAAATGTCTCCAGACATTGCCAAAGACCCGCCAAGGGCAGAATTGCCCTTGATTAAGAACCACTGGAAGAGATGAAAAGAAGACCTGTTACAGCAGTTCAGGTGGAGGGCAGGGATTGGTCTCCAATTCAATCCAGTACTTTCTCTAATATAATTTAGCCTTGTTGAGATCCAAATTCAATCATTAAGCTTCTTACAAAATAGTCTTAAACTCCGAGATTGAAAACAGAATGAACAAAAATATAATTTATGAGACAGAATATTTAAAAGCAACATTAAGAGTAAAGGTATACATTCCTTATTTTAACAAATGTAGTTTACTGTTGCCTTTTAAAAACAGCATTTATCTGTAGCCAATATTGTTAAATGATAATTATTTGACATATAGCTAATTCATAGTTGATTTTGCTCAACACCGTCTTATGTACAGAGCTAAACATTGTCATACACAATTATAATATAAACCAAAACAAGAAATACAATTAACTGGTTTGAAGTGACATACCCTGAAATATATAACACAAAAATATAATATTGCAGAACAAAATTAAAGTATGAAATGTAAAACTTACTGAACACCATCAAGTAAATCAATATATTCATGAAATATTCTTAGAAGCAGAATATAGAGAAATAGTAATACACAGGTAACATGAAGAAAAAAAAGACTGAGAACTTCCAAAATTTTGATGTAATAAAAAATTTCTAACCAAAAATAGAAAAAATTATTTGACCATGCTTAAGTATTTGCTCCAGGAAGTCATATGGTTTGTCAAAATTTTCTAAATGCCACTTTATAGCACCATCTTGTGGATCTTAGAGGAATTCATGGATTTCAGTTTAAAATGTCTGTAGTTATTTCTTCAGAAAAAGGAAGAAAAGAAAATAAACTATAAAGAAAAAATAAGTGTGCTTATTGAAATGTTCTACCAAACTCTGAATTAGAGACATAGTGAAGTTTGACTTCAGTTTTGATATTCAGCCAAGATTTACCGTTTGGTTTCAACTACAGCTTCCTCTTAGGCCTTTGGAAAGTCAAATAGCCACAAACCTACCTCATCATCATCATCATGTGTGTCTTTTGTAGGCTACTATCATGTACAGTCAGCAAAGAAGGGATGTGCCAACAAGGAAGGTCATCCTAATGTACTGTTTAATGTTTGAATATTCATTTTGAATGTACAGATATAACATAGAATTAAAATTTCCTTATGTGCTGTAAGTATTAGAAGAGCAAAGTGTTGCAAAATTAGGGAAGATTGTGAAAGCTGGTAAGCTTATACAGAAAACAAATAAGAATATTTAAGCTGTTAAATTGAGAAATAGGGATATAGATTGATAATAATATGAATATTTATTCCTGTACCATGATGTCAAACTTTTAAAATCTGATTACTAAGTTTTTTATTATATAAGCATAGTTGCAGTTATAGTTCACATTTCTTTTTATATCTAAGGAGTTCATTCTATGATGGTATCTAGCATTAGCCTCTGAAAAATGTTGATCTAAGAGCCATTGGGCATTTGGCCAAAAAATGTATTTGATATACATCTATTCTAAACCTAAAGGAAGAATAAAATAGAAAGAAAATGATATCAAACATAATGGATTTGGAGTACCTTTCTCTTTTTTTAAATATGTGAGGTTTTTCTTTCTAACTTGAAAGAAAATATTTATCACGAAATACCAAGACCATTAAATGCTGGTAGGAAGGGGCTGCATGGGATTACTGTATGGAAAAAAGCATTTCTATTCAAGGACATATCAATTAATTATAATCCAATTTTATAGGCAAAATGTTTAATTAATTAAAATTCTCATTTGTTATTTTCCATCCTGACAGACAATCCTTCTCTTCTCCATGACATAAATTAAGCATAGCCATATACTAGAAGATTCTTTTCCTTGATTATCTCCTCATCTCTCCTCATTGAAACATCAAGAATGGCCAAGTGGGTTCAGCACAGGGCATTTGGGTATCTAAGCTCCATTATTCTCTAAGATAAGACACCATTACTTAGGGAAAGGATAAGAATACAAGGGTGTCAAAAAGAGAACTTTTCTTGCAAGAACTTTCACATAATTGTTTTGACCTAAAAACAACAATTATGTTACAGGACAGTGGACTCTTTCGCAGGGCTTTGTAGTTGAAGATAGATCCACAGCAGGCAGATCAAGTCAGCAAGCTTGAATAACCATAACAGTTGTAATGGCATTTAGCTCTATTTAACCCACTCACCTCTGTAAGAAGGCAACCCACCTGATGAATAACATAGTTTTTGGCTTTGAGTGAGCATAGAGATGTGGAAAGTGGAAAGAACTTCAGACCAGGAATCAAGAAACCATATTTTTCTTCCAGCCTGTCACCAAGTGCATAACATTAGACAAATGACTCAGCCATTCTGCATCTCAGTTCCCATATCTGTAAAATGAGGGGGCTGGACTAGGTGTTCTTTAATGTCCTTTCCAGCTTAACAGATTAAGATTCTATGAATTGTTCTGCTGGGTAGGAGCCTAGCCCAACTTTAATATTCTCTTTCTGTGAGTGGCCCTAGGGAATGATTTGAGTAGTGTCACCCTGAACATTTAAGGACTTAACAAAACCATCTCTAACTTCCCCTCTTAGTGATCAAAGGTAAAAGTACCCTTTACATTCTTTAACTTTTCTTAATGCCATTTATTTTCAACATACACCACATCAGAAAGACTTCCATTTTACTTGTAAATATTCTCTTCAAATTTCAGAGAATATCACCTAATCTTACTTTTCTAAAATCAAGTTCTAATTCTCTGAACCTTTTATATTTTGCATATTTTGCAGACTGTAATCATACATGTTTTATCATTTCCTGAAGACAGCCTGCAGAACATTTACCCTTTTAAGGGTTCCAGCATCAAAATACCTTTTAGCCTCACTTCATGGTATGTCATCTAACTGAATATTCACAGTGGCTGTTACAACTTCAACAATTCTGAAACATTACCTTTGTTTTCTGATAGTTTTTGTTTTGAGTTTGGTTTATTTGGGCTTGGTTAGTCAATTTCTTTTTGGCAGAATTTTTGGGGATTATCACTTCAGAAATTGGCTTTACCATTCTAAACCTATTGTTGTAGCCTGTCCTGACAGAGTCATTTCTGGGAAGATTTTATGCTTCTCCGAATATTTTTTCCAGCTCCTTTAAAAAAACGTATTTAAATATTTCCTCCTAGAAATAAATAAGAACCTCTGAACTTAACATTAGGATGGCCATTTAATAGATAAATGAACCTTCAGTCAAATATCTGAGACACCCCAAAGATTCAGATGTCTCCAGTTTCCATTTCTGCAGGTATCATTTCAGTATTTGATATATTTAATTCAAAGGTAAACTCAAAATATATTGAGACTAATTCAGTGTGTTCCCCTGTGCTACCTCACTCAAACATGGTTTTGGTAATGAAAGTCCACGTTCAATAATCTGTGGAATCAAAAGTAGTTTAGTGTAAGAACTTAAAACAAAAAAACCAACAAACAAGCAAAAAACTATATATATATGTAATGCAAAGAAAAGAGGAATGAGAAGATTAAAGTTTGGAACCTTCTGTGATGAAGAGTAAGAAGTGATGACATATCCACTGAATACACTACCCTAACCTCTCACCTACTGAAATATTATGCTACTTTGTAAAACTGGAATCCTAACATGTCTTATGTTGAATGTTATCCAACAGTTGTAGCAAAGGTGATCTGTCAGTTAATCTCAAAGTTAGTCAGGATTTTAAATTTAACCTACAGATACACCATAATAAACAGGATTGGTGCAACTAACAATTTGTTTAAATTAAAGTTATTATGAAGTTATAATATCAAATATTCTGATAAAAACAATTAGTCAAAAATACTTTTGGCCACTGAATTTCATACTATTACTATATTCATATTAATTATATGATATGGACCCTTCTATTTCAGTATTTCATGGCATTTACTGATAACAACTTTGTTTCTCTTTAATATTTAGAGAAAAGATTTTTATATTACTGTTTTTCTCTTAAAGTTATCTTATACACATTTATGCTATTTTTATCTTATTTACAAATTAAGCACATATAAGTTACTAATCTACTTTACATTTTAAATGAGAAATGCTTTAAAAAATAGGAATTAGACATCTTGTGCCCAAAATATTGAAAACATAATCCCTTTAAAAATATCCACCATCAAAAAAAAAAAAAAATCCACCATCTCTCTCCTCCCTTTTCCTTTTAATTCAAACTAGTTAGTTTCCTTTGAAGATGTCTTTTGCCAATGTTTCTGAAAACTATTTTTGTTTGAAAATTTCAGGGTGGAATGGTTTTTTAGATGAAGGAAACTGTATTTGCAATTACAGCTTATAAAGTAGAGAAAACCATAAACTCCCTTTGGCATCCATTTGACTCCAGGTCAAAATTAGATTTCTTCCTTCTATAGCATTTCGACTTATGAACCCCTCTTTTTGTAAGTAGATAGATTTGGGATGGAGGGCCAGCTGGAGATTACAAAATATACTGTATGAATATGAGTGAAAGTATAATTTTAAGTAAACAGGTCACTTAATGTTGATCTTTTCCTGTTAAAGGGGTTTTGTCGGCCTTAGTACTAACGTTGTTTTAAATTTTAATTCAATAACAACTTAGCTTTTAAAATTTCAGATTTATACTATTAAAGGTTAGAACCACTTATTTTCATTTCAGAATGTCTGGTGGTAGTGATGGCAATTATTGCAGAGAAAGGTATTGAGGCCTGCTATGATACAGAACTATTAGGTGGTATGAGAAAATGAAAAAAGTACTTACAGAGAAGTAATTCCTGACCTTTAGGACCCTGTAATATATAGCTGTCTTTTTTAAGCTTTCATACCACACATTGACAAATCAGTCTTGAAGTTATCATTTGAGTGCGAGAGTGTAAGAATTGGGCTAGAAAAATCACCTTCTTTGCTCTGTTTGTTTGATCAACTCTTATTTGAATGCATCACCTCACTAATAATTGTGCCTAAAGATAATTGAACAATTCAAACTCAAACTCAATTTACACTAATTATCTAACATTCATTTAACTAGTATTTATTTATAAGGTCACAAATCACCAAGCTAAAGAAGTCCTAAAAATTTTTTCTGAAGAGGCAGGAAAATACACAATCTCATGTTAAGGAACAAGACTTTAAGAGAACTAGAAAATAATTAAAAGGTTGTTAGGCAAGGGTCCAAGATTAATTTTGGTTAGAAAATAAATCTGACTCATGATCAAGCAATGAGAATCACATAAAACCATTATAAAATAATAAATTCTACCACCTTACAAGAGCACCGAACTTACATCTTTTTGACAGATGATTGGCACCAGGTAAATTATTGAGATATATGGTGGTTATTTGGTCCCTTTTTCCGTAACTTTCCTTGAGTTACTCAGCCTTTGTCCAAGTGAGTACAAAGATGTAATGAGAATCATGTAGACGTTGCATAAAGTAATTTGCATAGCTCCCCCAAGATTATTAAAAACCTGATATTAATGATATACACTGACATCAATTTCTTTTGCTGTTGTTTGTGAGGTTTTTTTTGTTTTTTGGAGGTTTTTTTTTTTGGAGGCATGATCTTGCTCTGTCTCCCAGACTGGAGTATAGTGGTGATCACAGATCACTGCGGCCTCAGTGTCCTGGGCTCAGGTCCTCCCATCTCAGCTGCCTGAGTAGCTGGGACTACAGGCGCGTGTATTTTTTGTAGAGACAGGTTTTTGCCATCTTGCCCAGGCTGGTCTCAAGCTCCTAGGCTCCTAGATGTATACCCACCTTGGCCTCCCAAAGTGCCAGGATATCAGGTGTGAGTCACCACACACGGCCTAGTACCAATTTCTATCATGATTTGTTGCATCTAGAGCTGAAAGCAATTTTTTTGTCATGAAGACAAACCTTTTTTTAAATTTTCTTAATCTATGTAAGAAGTGCTTTCTAAGATTAGACTGTATTTACACATTAAGCAGTGTAAATGTTTATTATGTCAGGCTCTTAAGTGGAGATGAGTATGTTGACATTTTATTATAGAAAATTTCAAACACCAAAGTGAATCCCATTCAACAATTATTAACACAAAGGCAATTTTATATCATCTCTAGTTCATCTAATTTTCCTGTCCTCTCCATCCTGCCCTTCAAAGTATAATTTTAAAGGAAGCCCAGCTATTATATTTCACCCATACATTCAAGGAGAGGTTTTTGAAGTGAATAGACCACTGTTCTGTCCATGACTTATGTCCATTTTGGATAAGTTCAAATTACCCAAGTGGTCACTGTCAGAGCCATTTCTTCAGCCACGGCTTTGTTCTCTCAAGTATTTATACCTTCCATGTGTAGATTTCCTATGTCATTCACTGATTGGTGGCATCACCTTCAGTCTACCTAAGAATATTAATGTTAATTTGGCAACTTGATTTAAAAGGTACCCAAAGGAATCATTATTTTCATTATTCATCCAGTCCTTCATTTCTTGCTCTAGATCTTAGAGGTACAGTGTTGAGAAAATTAGACAAAGAGCTTGCCTTCCAGGATGTTTGCTAGAGTTGAGATCAAGAGACAGGGGCTTGCTACTTGGAAGACTCCCTCTTTGTATGGGCAGTGTTGTTCCTGATTCTACCTTATGTTTCCTCAGGGAAACCTTAACAAAATGCCCATAGTAGTGAACTAAATAAATATGTAAAACAATAATGAACTGGTTTTGTTGTTATTGTTGTCGTTTTTAAAGTACATGTTTCTTGTATGGGAATTAACAAGTTTTGTGTGTGTCTATTGCCACCTACCCCCCTACTCCCAAATCTCACCCCCACTCTGCAGATTGCTCCAGGTAGATCTGGGAAAATGTGAACAGCCACATTTTCATCTCAAAATAAAGTATAACTTTTTTTAAAGTCCTATGTCCAAAATTCAAGGTTCTGAAAATGAAATTTCTAAATAATTAGATGATGTGATGATGGCAATCTGAAAATACGTATAAATCTCTACACAAAACTACTGTATAATTTAGTAGCTATCATATATTATTATCTCAAAATGAATAATAATTATGCAAAATTAGCTCCTTTATAGATCAATCTCTAATTTAAAAAGTGATGTTTAGAGATGTAAAAGGTATCATTGTTTTTTGCAACATCAAATGATGTCTAATTCAAATGCCTTTGAAAGCCATCTGCAGCACTTCTGAGTTTTTGCTGTTTCAGAATTGACTTTCTTTCTTGGCAGGTACTTAACAAAAATAAACTCAATATTATAGTCACACAATACATACCTATAATGAAAAAACCTAAAACAATGAGCAGTCACATAAAAGCTTTCTTTTTTTTGAATTTAAATTTAACTAGTTTTAGCTGGTTATTTTTATTTCCCCAATCAAAAAAAAAATCAATTGTAATTTACATGCTCTGATATAAAGCACTTTCTGCCATTGCTTCTTTGGGAACTGAGAGTAGAAATGGTTTCTAATTTGAAGATTCAAAAGATTGAATAGCTGGATGAATTATAACTTAAAATTCCCATTAATTTATTTTCAAATGAGGAAAACCCACAACTTTGAGAAACTGATTATTATGGGGAAAAAAGGCCTTGATTTGTAATTGCACCCAAGTATGAAAGCCTACATTTTGTAAGCATAAAGATTACATTCTCTTCAAAAGATTTTCAAATTCTCATAGGCACATAACTTAGAGAATGAGAGGATTGTAATTTGAAAAATTACAGATTTCATTGTTTTTGATGTGTGAAACCTATAAACAAATATCAGGAGATTGTATTGCAAAACTGAAAATCCCTTGTTTAGTTTTGCAAAGGACAGTGCCCTATGTGGCTTACAACCCTGACTTAAAAGAAAAATGCAGAGTAATGCAAAAGACACTCTAATCACTGCATCTAATTACAAAGAAGAATAGCTCAGTAAAAATTTTAAGTATCTTTGGGCAGGCGTGTGGTCTCGTGGTCAGAGCATGGGATTTCAAGTCAGTAGTCTAAATTTCTATTTTAAACACCACTTCTAAATTTCTCCATGACTTTGGGCATGACATTAACTTTATTTTTAAATGAGAACTTGAGATCTGTTCTCGATAATTACAAAGCAGTTTTGAAATCCTTTAATAGAGGTATAAATCTAATACTGCAAAAAAACATTAACAGAGACAGGTGCTTTCTTGACTACTTGATAGAAAAAAAAACTTACTTGACAAAAAGAAAAGGTAAGGTAAATTAAAATGCATTCAGAAGATGTTTCTTTACCATTTACATGTAACATTGCTATACTCATGTGTTATTTCAAAGTCAGTTCAGGGCATTATTTAACAATCAACTCATTGATATGGTGACAAATTTTGATAGCTTTCCTCTAAATTGCTCCTTAGCTTTTGAAGAAATGGTAGTCCTCAGTGGATCCAACGCTGCTCTTTTCATACTAATTGTTATTGTCTCTCTAAGGAACTTGTACTCCACAACAATGTTCCTGCTTTGTTTTTTGTTTATGTGTAGTGTTTTTTAAGTGTTCCTCCAAGTGCAATAAGTATAGACAAATTATCGTGTAAGTTTTCTTCAAACTATAGCTAGATTTCTAGGGATAAATGTAGGTGATTCAAACCCTAACAAACGTCTATAATCAATTTCCACGGTAATTTTCAGTGGGAATAATTAACATTTAAATTCAAGGAATGTGACCTGACTTATAGAACTCTTCCTTCCCTACTTCTTTTCGCCCATCCTTCCCTCCTTCCTTACCTTCTTTCCTTCCCTCCTCTTTCTTTCTTCTTTCTTTTTCTTTCTTCTTTTTCTTTCTTTATTTCTCTCTCTCTCTTCCTTTCTTTCTTTCAACAGTTTCAGTACTCTATAGATTTTTCTGGAGTATGATAATCTTGTATGCTTTTGAGTCCTAGTTTAGCTACTAAATATGCTTTCTTGTTGGAAGAATCCACCCAGTCAAATTTGCTAAAATATACGGTATACAAACTGGAAACAAAGAGTAAATTCAGGAATAGTATGGTATATTAATACAGCAGGCAATGGGGTTATACAAAATTTGACCAAAATCTCAGGCTCAACACAAACCTTCATCATGCCTGATCTATTGCACACTTTCCAGGCAAAGGGTGATCTTTAAAAACAGCAATTCATCAAGATAATGCTGCATGAAAGGAAATAGAGACCATTATAAGGCAAAGTAAAACAGCTTAAGGACAGATCTTGTTGTATGCTTCCCTGATTAGAAACACAGGGTATGAATGCCTTGCTAAAGTACTTAAAGTGCTATTAAATGGTCCAAAGCTCACGTGAGAAATCACTGAGTTAAAGGATCAAATTCCGACAGGGTCAGTTTGGTCTTCTGGCATTATATAGGAGGCAAATTATAAACAGAACTTTCACTAAATTTGTCCTCTAGGGAAGATTTTAAAATGGAATCTTTGTGAGATGGTTTGCAGTAGCCCTAATAGCTTCAGAGACTGCCTCTACATTCCCTGGTGAATTTATGTTAAATAAAAAAGGCAGAAAATCCAACTTATTAAGTTCATAAATTAAAGTTATATATTTTTTAAAACCTGAACATTTGGGAAATTATAGGTAGTAATTTTTTCTATATGCAGCAGTTTAATCCTGCATTTATTTCACTAAATTACACCACTCAATTTCCTGTTTAGGCCTGTTCGATGCATCTTACATTCATTCAAAAATAGTGACAAGAAAGAGAGGAATGCTTTAAAACTGGTTATCTAGTTATTAAATACTAAATTTTCCTTTTTTAAGAAACAAAACCCTGTTTGATTCTTCATTGTCTCTTTGGTTTCCCAAATCTAACCCTTCTTTACTTCCCCCTACCTCCTAAATATATGATGGAAATAGATTCAAGACAACAGCAGCTCCTACACCTGTGATGCTGTTCCTCTGAGAAGGAAAAGAAGGAGAAAACATGTAAAACCCGGGAATACATTTTGTCACAATAGAACTGGGTACAGTAGTTCAACTTCAGAATAGGGAATGTAGGATTTTCACCTTCAGTCTTCAGAAGACATCTTTTTCTAAATATCTATTATAATAACAAACTGCAATTCCATAACCACTTTAGTTGATACTTGAACTTCCTCCCAGAGTTCATATTTCCTCACATTAGCTCCAGTTTTATTCAGTATTACAATGCAATGTCTGCATTCCAATCCTAAATCTGCTGGAGGACTTCATACAGATAAGGGACATTTAACTTGCTGCAGTAGAGTCAGAGACCTGGTTGGAAATGTTGAGGAAAAAAGTCCCTCTGTTGTCTCGATATGTTACTCATCCTGTAAAGCTCTAATTTTATTTTTGACATATCAAAGCTGTCTCTAAAATGTTACCATGGAACCAGAAATAATTATTTTAATAATGGACCTATGTCCTTTTCATCTTCTTTATTTTAAATTTAAAAATTTTTTGCTGTTTAAAAAAATTTTTAATTAGAACAGGCAAGGCACAATGGCTCATGCCTGTACCCCTGGCACTTTGGGAGGCCGAGGCAGGCAGATCACTTGAACCCAGGAGTTCAAGACCAGCCTGGGCAACAGGGTAAAACCCTATCTCTACAAAAAAATACAAAAAGTAGCTGGGCATGGCAGCACTTCAGCTACTCAGAAGGCTAAGGCAGGAGGATAGTTTGAGCATGGGAGGTCAAGGTTTCAGTGAGCCATGATCATGTCACTGGACTCCAGCCTTGGTGACAAAGTGAGACTCTGTCTCTACAATATATTTATATTTTACTTATTTATATGTGGATTTTCTACTGAAAGGTGGGTCAGTATCCCTAATCCCCAACACTGTTCAAGGGTCAACTGTATTTCTCTGAAACTATTGCTCCAAGGTAGAGCCTCATTTACATACATTAATTATAATTTTTAACCAAACTAATTTGTATTTTCACAGCAAATTGGGGAGTGGGAGGGAAAGGAGGTGGACAGCCATGTTACACACTAGCATCCTTGCAGTCCTGCAGAGTTCATAAATACGTGTAACACAACTTTCTACAGCCATACTTTGTACAAATTTTCAAGATGGCAAAAATGAATACGGTAAGAGACCCCAAGTTTCTCTCTTTCTAGCATATAAAAAGAAGCAAAAGCACAGTCTTAAAAGTATGCTTAGTAGGTGCTGTTCATTTCTCTATCAGCCAGGAAGGATATTGGTTTTGAGGTTGATGTACTTATCGAGAACATCCAGTGCTTTGATGAAACCTCAGATGTATGACCTTCTGGACAAACATCTGCAATTTCATATCATTGGAGCATTGTATTTCTGGAGGTTGTGATTCTCTATAGGTTTGCTGTGGTTGAACCAAGAAAGAAGGCATGTGCAGATGTCTAAAGAAATTATGATTCCATGAAAGACTTTAAGGAGATGAAGAAGGCTGGTATCTTTCATAATGCAAAATGATTCCAGAATATAAAGAATTTCTTTGAGTTCAATTACCTAGAAGTTTTGTCACTGACTTGTATTCCTGAACTATGAAACCTGATTATGTGGGCTAAATAAAAAATAATTTATCTTAATAAATAAACAAGTTAAAAAAATGGATGCTTAATAATCAATATTACAGTATTCAATCTTACTTAGAATTTAGGCATTCAATGAATAGGCATTAATTAATTCAATTTAAAACCAGTCTAAGATTTTAAGTTATCAATAGATCTTGGAAATTATCTCCAAGTTTACATACTATGAAACATAATTACTGCTAACATAAAATTTTGTTAGGATGATGAATCGGCAGGGTGCGGTGACTCATGGCCAGGTGCAGTGGTTCACTCCTGTAATCTCAGCACTTTGGGAAGCCAAGGAGGGCAGATCACGAGGTCAGTAGACCAAGGTCATCCTGGCTAACATGGTGAAACCCCGTCTCTACTAAAAATACAAAAACTTAGCCAGACGTGGTGGTACAGACCTGTAGTCCCAGTTACTCAGAAGGCAGAGGCAGGAGAATTGCTTGAACCCCGGAGGTGGACGTTGCAGTGAGCCAAGATCATGCCACTGCACTCCAGCCTGGGCGACAGAGCAGGACTCCATCTAGAGAGAAAAAAAAGAATCAATTTGGTTAAATACATATTTACATTTTTTATAACTTTAAATATTAAGTAGAATTAATGATAGCTTATTTGATCAGTAACCTTTACAAGTTTAGAAAGAATATAACCAAGTAAAATAAAAATTGATTATATCGTACTTAACACTGATAAATCATAGAAGATAGCTGTTTTTTATTAAACTGAAAATATTAAACTAGTCTTGCTTAGCAAAAACTTACCTAAATCATATAAATTTGACTTCATAAAACATTTTCTAGTTAGTTTTGGTTAAAAAAATACTTACTAAATCTAGCATACTAAAAGTATTAGAAGTTCAATTTCTTGATTTTCTGTAATTTTAGGAATATTCAATTTATATAAGAATTAGTTATTGCTACAATCTCCTTACAGAGATTTTATTTTTATTGCATTTTTCAAAGAGATGAGGTCTTGTAAAAATTATGACAAGAGAAATCTAACATAATTGACTCCATTTTGCTTCTAAGCTCACAAGCTGACTGTCCTTGCTCATTTCGAGGCATAGGCCAAGCTAACTATGAGAAAAATTCAGTTTACAGTTTAACTTTAAAACAAAGATGCTAACAGTCTTTTACTGAGACGAACCCTCTTGGCTAGGCGTAGTGTCTCACACCTGTAATCCCTGTACTTTGGGAGGCTGACACAAGAAATTCCCTTGTGCCCAGGAATTTGAGACCGGCCTGAGCAACATGGCAAGACTCTGTCTCTTAAAAAAAAAAAAAAGAAAGAAAGTAACCTCCTCCTTGCTTGGAGACCAAAACTGCCCTTGTAAAACAAAAATTAGCCACAAGGTTAGAATTATGGTAGAGGTCTGAATTCTGTTAGGATGTAGGCATAGTTAAACTCTAACCAGTCATTGTTTCCTCTGCTAAGATGTAGGTATAGTTTCACTCTAACCAGGCATTGTTTCATAATTTGTCTTTTCATAACTGCTTACTGCTCAGGAGTCATGTAGCTGGAGGTCACAAGATTTGTAACTTCCCCAATTATTCCTATAGATAACATCACTACTGTGAAACCTGACTGGTGTTTGAGGCATTTTTCAGACCTTACACTGTAATGGACCAACTGATGCCACCCAGATTGATAACCCATATCAACAAACTGACTCAACTGGTTTTGTGACTACCACAAGGAATGGACTCAGCATAAGAAGACAGTTTTTTAAAATATATATATATATATTTTATTGCACTTTAGGTTCTGGGGTACATGTGCAGAACATGCAGGATTGTTGCACAGGTACATACATGGCAACGTGGTTTGCTGCCTCCATCCCCCCAAAGAAGACAGTTTTGACATTCTTATAATTTCATCCCCCACCTAACAATTCAGCATTCCCCATTCCCTATCTCCCTGCCTGCCAAGCCATCCTTGAAAAATCCTAGTCCACAAATTCTCAGAGGGAAACCTGAAAATTATCTTTCATCCTTTTGCTCGGCTGCCTTGTGATGATTAAACTCTTTCTCTACTGTAACACCACTGTCTCAGTGTATTGTCTTTACCTGTGCAGTGGGCAAGAAGAACCCATTAGGGTGTAACAGACTGTTTTTCTCATTTAAATTTTGCTCTTGGGTGACTTTGGTTTTGGTTTCTATATGGCCAATAAATTATTTCCCATTGGGAATTGGTTTTATTGTCAGATTATTTGTTAATCTGTGTAAACAAACTAAAAGTTTATGGAGATCTTATCCCTGTTGGGTGAAAGGTGACAGAACATCTGGTTTGTTAGTCTTTTCTGTTTGTCTACTTTTATTTCAAATCAATAATGTATACTCACTGGGAAGAGAACAACACTTTGACGTGAACTGGTGAGTTTTCAGTTTTCAATTTTAATATTTTGGCCATGGTCACTAGCAGACAGGACAGATCTACAAATGTACGAATAACTAACAGTCTACAAAGAGCAACAAAATAACAATGACAATGAACAAGGCTAGAATATGATAGTAATCCAAGCGGGCATGCTAGAGACAATGCATAGTTTTCCACTGAAACACAATTTTTTTTCTATAATACTATAGGGACAAAGGGAACACTTATTTGCTCTTAAAAGATTTGCTTAAAAGTTAACTGACAAGCTGGACACAGTGGCTCATGCCTGTAATCCCAGCACTTTGGGAGGCCAAGGTGGGTGGATCATGAGGTCAGGAGTTCGACAACAGTCTAGCCAATATGGTGAAATGCTGTCTGTACTAAAAAGTACAAAAATTAGCTGGGTGTGGTGGCATGCACCTGTAGTCCCAGCTACTGGGAAAACTGAGGCAGAAGACTCACTTGAACCCAGGAGGCGGAATTTGCAGTGAGCTGAGATTGTGCCACTGTACTCTAGCCTGGGTGATAGAGCAAGACTCCATCTCAAAAAAAAAAAAAAACTGACCTCAGGCAAATTGGTTGGAGAAAAAGCATACGAATTTATTAATGTTCACATGGAGGAGAACCACAGAGTGATTACCCCATATTCCAGTGGAACCCAAATACTTATATAGCCTTATTTTAGAGGGGAGAGGAAGGATGGGGAATATAGGAAATTCTGTTGAGATAATGACTGATTACTTGGGAGAATGAATGATCTAAGAGTAGAGATTAATTTGAGAGACAGGTATTATCCTATGAAAAAATGTGTTCAGATGTGGTTACATTCTTGGTCTTCTTTTCAGCAACAGATAAAGAAATAATGGGGAGAGAAAGGAAAAACAATTGTTCTCCTTAGTGAGTCCTTCTGGTCTTTGTGTAAATAGGAGAAAAGTCTCTTCCAGAGTCTGTTGATTTCTAACGGCCTTTAATTCAAAATACTCATTATACCAGGAAGCCATATTTTGGGAAAGTTCCCTCTGCTCCTCAATCTTTATATTTTTATTATTTCAATAAATATATTGAGAAAAGAAAAATAGTTCAGAGTAGTTTAAGCTATGTTAAATATGCAAAATTTATCAGGCCCAGAGAGAAGAATGGGACTTCAGTCATTCCAATGGCACTTCCAAGCCATGCCTGAGGGCAATTGTTTCAAGTCATTTTGTTCCTGACTAGCTGCCTCACCTATTATCTTCATGTTCCTTCTCCTGGAATTTGTAATACCAAGATAATGTATAACCAATCAATAGTTTATGTTATCTTAATATAAATTCTTAATAAACAATTTAGGAGATTTTTTTTTCCTTAAAAAACCCCTGTGGGGCTGGGCACAGTGGCTTAAACCTGTAATCCTAGCACATTGGGAGGCCAAGGCAGGCCGATCACCTGGGGTCAGGAGTTCAAGGCCAGACTGGCCAACATGGTGAAAACTTGTCCCTACTAAAAATACAAAACAAAGCAAAATAACAACAACAAAAAAAAACTAGCCAGGCATGGTGGTGGGCACCTGTAATCCCAGCTACTTGGGCAGCTGTTGCAGGAGAAATGCTGGAACCCAGGAGGTGAAGGCTGCAATGAGCAGAGATCATGCCACCGTACTCCAGCCTGGGCAACAAGAGTGAAACTCTATCTCAAAAAACAAACAAACAAACAACAAAAACTTGTGTAACTACTGTTAAATAAAGTGTATATTCAGAGCAAGTTGAATCTATGCTATGAGTATAGAACTTCAGTTATGCTCTTGCACCCATGCCTGGGAGCAACCGTTTAAAGTCATTTTGTTTCTGACTAGCTATAATACGCATATGTAAGAATAAAATAGAGCACAATATTAGACACATCATATATGCACAGAAAGGATCAGTTCCTTAGCTCTTAGGAAGCAGAACTAGATCAGTGGCTTAATTTTTTAACTTTATTGTGCCTAAGAATAACTCTGGGAGTTATTTTAAAAATGGAGATTCCAGGGCCCCATCTCTTACATCTGTAAATCTGTGAGCTTGGAGTAGATAGGCACCAAGGACAACGTTTAACGCACATAGTCCCTGAACCCTGTGATGGGGCATCAGGTTGTAATGAATGTGAAGGTAGGAGCTCTCTGCTCTAGTTTGCTTTTCTAAAAGATTTAACATATGATTTAAGGCAAGACATCAGTGTTTTCCTTTCTATATCTTCTTTAGCACGTGTAAACTGTGAATAATAACTAAATGATATCAAATGAGAATTCAGAGAGCAAATCTATCACTTTTGTCCCAGATGAAACTTGTTTAAGTTGTGACTAAGAAAAAGAGAGTCAAAGCTTAAAAAGGAGTAACACCAAGAGAAAATGTTGGTATAAGGCATAAATTATGTCTGAGATGAGAAAGGTTATGAACAAACACACTGAAAAATGCTAAAGACAAGCAAAACAAAGACACAGCAGAAATAGGGGGCAGAAAAGCAACCAAATGTTATACTAAATGTCATGTGTTTACTTAGGGAATCAGGGAATGAACATTTACACCCAGAGAAAAGGAGTCAAAATGAAAAGTAGCAAAAGGTACTGGCACAATGAATAAATAAATAGGGAGGAAAACTGAATGTCAAATGCAGGAAAAGAACGGTAAAGAGGGTCTGGAATTTGTATCATGCCTAATTATTCCCTTAAAATCTATGAGAAAATTCTACTGAAAGAAAAAAAACTAGTCAACATCTGAAGGGAAGAGCACAGAACCCAGAAACTAAAGGGCAATTCACAGTGGGGAAATTTTTCTTTTAAGTCAGCAAATGCCCACACAAGGATTTGGTTGAAGAGAATTTGATTATAATTAATCATATTATAGGGATGACTTAAGGCTTTTTTATGGACTCAGATGCCAGGATGAAAGAATGACTTTCAGGAATAGACCAATTTTAAACAAATTAAAAATATATATATTTGTGAAAGAAGAAAATCTTCTGACTATGAAGGCTATTAAGACAGGATGTGCAGTTTTTAAACAAATATGTTACTATATGCTGATAGAGATTATATAAATGCTAGAAATCTTGAAAAAAATTGAATGTGGAAAGAAAAATTATAAAAGTATAAAGCATCTATAGAAAGTGAATTTGAGTTACTAGTTTGTG